CCTGAAAAGTGCTATATAAATGCAATCAGTTATTATTATCATTATCTTATCACACATTTACTTGAAAAAGGAAGTATATGATAGATGACTAAAGGGTGTGGCTTTTTAGAACTTTAGAGCAAACTATCCACTAAAGGTATTCTTTTAAAAAAGTTGCTGGTTGAAAGTCCTTATTGGGATGTTTAGAAAGTATAGCTGTGACTACTGCCTGCTGAGATGCTGATGGGGTCTGTTTGTTTGTTTTTCCCCTTTAAGGCTTCTTGTTCTGGATGAGATGGATCAGCTGGACAGCAAAGCCCAGGATGTCCTCTACACAATCTTTGAATGGCCGTACCTGCCAAAGTCTCGCCTCTGTCTCATCGGTAAGTACTCAACTCAACAAATATCCCGAATTCACCAGATCTCACATCTGTGTGTCCTGTAGACAGAAAGCAGAGTGTTCTGACAAAAATAATATCTGTTCTACATGCTGACCACTGATGTCTTTGCAGGTATTGCAAACGCTCTGGATCTGACTGACCGGATCCTGCCCAGACTGCAGGCTCGTCCCCAGTGTCGCCCTCTGCTGCTGCACTTCCCTCCCTACAGCCGGGAGGAGCTCACGGCCATTGTACAGGACAGGCTTGTACAGGTAAATGTGGTCCGTGTGACTCAGAGCTTAAGCTGGAACCTTACAGATCACTTTTATTTAATCAGCGTCTTCTTCTCCTCAGGCGTCGGCTGAAGGGCTCCTCGACGCTTCTGCAGTTCAGTTCTGTGCCAGGAAAGTTTCAGCTGTGTCGGGAGACGCCAGGAAAGCTTTGGACATCTGCAGGTGAATGCTTGGACTTGTTTTTTCTTTAACCTTTTAGGGAATCATGTCTCTGTGTTTGCATTTAGATTCTGCACTCGTTTAGGCATTTTAGTTGTTTCTGCTCTCGGGAGACCTCGTGCAGATTCTTTGAGTTGATGTTTCTGTGAAATGTCATTCAAACGATTTTCTGGTTGCTGATTTCAGGAGAGCAGTTGAGATTGTAGAGTCTGATGAGAGGAAAAAAGCAAGTGATCCAAAGGGTGAAAGTAAAGGTGAGTTTGAAATGTTTTCTTGAGTTAAAACTGATGATGGTGGAAGTCACACGGCAGCTGATTGGTGGAATCTTACCTGGACACTTCCTGTACTGTGTGTTCTGCAGCGTCCCGGGTCAGCCTGCCGCAGGTTGCGAGAGTGCTGTCGGAGGTCTACGGCGACCGCATGGCGTCTCAGAGCAGCGGTTCAGAGGGAGAGAGTTTCCCCCTGCAGCAGAAGCTGCTGGTGTGCTGCCTGCTGCTGCTCATCCGCAATGGGAAGAGCAAAGAGATCGGCTTGGGAAAGGTGAGGTGCTGATATTAGTTTGCTAAAGGACTTTAGCGGCGTGTTGTCGTGGCAAATCAGGAAACTTGTTGCATTAATGCGTAATTATTCCGTCTCTGCCAGAGAAAATACAAATCTGTTTCTAGACTGGTGGTGTTTCCTGACCCGTGGGCGTTTGTGTTTCAGCTCCATGAGGTTTACAGCCGCCTGTGCGCTCAGAGGCAGGTGTCTGGAGTGGGTCAGGGCGAGTGTTTGTCGCTCTGCAGTCTGCTGGAGAGTCGAGGGATCGTTGCCCTGAAGAAAGCCAAAGAGGCTCGTCTCACTAAGGTACCCGACGCTTCACGAGGAAATGCTCTGCAGTGCAGTGTTCGACCTCTGTTGCTTAAAAATGAAACTCGAGGGGTTGTCAGGGAGCAAGACACCGAGTGGAACGTGGCTGATTAAAGCGTCTGTTTCTGCAGGTGTTCCTGAAGATCGAGGAGAAAGATGTCGAAAACGCTCTGAAGGATCGAACGCTGCTGGGCAGCATCCTCGCTGCAGGACTCCCCTCGTGATCTTGTGATCGTTCCCTCTTTTAAAGACTCATTTTTAAGGTTGCACAATGAGCCAATGTTCTGTGGGGTTTTGTTTTTCTTCAAAGACGTTTTTTGGTTCTCATTTTTGCTGGGAGTTTGTAGTTTTAATGACGCTCAGTTGAGTTCAGAATGTTGAGCTTGCATCAAATGAACTGTTTCAGTTTTGAAACCTCTTTAAGCTTTGAATAAAAGTGAAGCTGTTTTAGCTGCTGTTGCTTGTGTCACCGGTGCATTGAAATGCTCGCGCTATATTTGAGCTGATAACTGAGGACAAATGTTCATTCACTGAAATCAGCTGAGTCTGTAGATGTTGTTCCAAAGGCACTTTGAAAGGTTTTAGGTAAAGTTACTCAGCTCGAGTGTAAGAAGTTGAATAATGTGATGTGTAGAATCTGCAGAACAAGATTTTATTGATCTCATGCTTCCATTTATATCATGGAATATATTGCATATACTCCAGCGTAAACATGAAGAACAGGATTCTGATTCTGTCTGCACAGATTTCCTTAACGATGCTGTTAGTTTTCACTGAGACTTTACATCTTTGTCCACCAATCAGCAGAATAAAGCTCAAAGCTGTGGAGCCCCTGAAACACCGATGCTTAAAAGATATCTGTGTAATTTTACTCAGCGAATATTAAGTTGTAAAACAAGTGAAATCAAAGATAAGCAGCGTTTTCAGCCGTGCGACCTGGAGAAATGCAGGTGAAATTACAAGACATGGTTAACAAAGCACGAAGGCTCAAAGATCAACTCTTCAAATCAGGTTTTGTTCAAATTTATTCACAGCAATGCATTAAAGTGAATGAAAATATAGCCGGTGCATGTTTTTAAGTACAAATACAGTGGGCGAAATATGTCGACAGCATTCAACACTCAGACATGTGATGCACATTCCTTCTCATCATTGGTAAACCAGACAAAGCAACATTTTCTCCACCTACGTCCGCTCTGCTCGACAGCTCATCTTAAGTGTTACATATTTAGTTTTTTCCACTTTCAAATCATTTCTAGTGATCGTCTCGACATTCATACGTTTAAAATGCGTTATGAAGATAAATAACCAAAGCGTGACCTTTGCATCCACAGCAGCTCTACAGGTACGTTTACCCACTCTCACTCCGAGGTCTTTAACAGCTGTGTTTACACTCGGGCCCTCAGTTATAACAACATCACGTCTCCTGTTATATTTGATAGCTGCTGTTGTCAGTGACGCTGAAAACGATGTTGACTGTTCACGCTGACCGACAATGAGAACACATTCAGGTTGAAGCAACGCAGAAACAAACGCTCGTGCACTTTAGATACAACATGTTTTGAGCACATGGATGAAGCGTTACAACTTTCTGAACCCTGAGCACTCGTACTATATTTTCTCACAGCTCTAACAGAGTTCCTGTGGTGTCAGGACAAACACGAAGGGCTGTGAAGAGGTTCGGTTGGTGTGAAAACGACAAACATTCTTTGAGTGCAAAGCTGTAAACTTGGTACATAATGACGATTAGCCCTCAGTTTGAGTCATGAGACGCAGCCATGACCTCACAGTGTATTTACAATCTTCAGTTAAAATCAACAAATAACAGACGCCACAAACTCAGAACGCTTTAACACGTGTGCTTTTCTTCACGCTGATGGAAACATGTAGGTCTGTTTCAGGCCTGGTGGACCAGGACGCTGCAGAAACTTTACACTGGAATTCTGAGACGTTCTGGCTGTCTTTAAAAAATAGGAGTGACAGCAGTACAGCCATGATGGCTGCTCCTCATTTCACGTAAAAGTTTTAGAAGCATCTAGTTTTGCGTAATTACCCTAAAAGCTTTTTTCCTGTGGAGTATTAACTACACTCACTACACTCAGGTTATTTCTGATTAAAAATCTATTTTAAAAAAAAGAAGCTGCCCCAGGTGAAAACACACCAACTACACTCTGCAATAAATATACTGTATGCTTAACAGTTACCTGATCGAAATAATTACAATGATTACAATTTAATAAACTAACCTTTTCTGTAAAAATACCTTAGATTTGAGCTTTATTTGACATATCATGTGTTTCTAACTTCTTTTAATCTAAGCTCGAGTCCTCATATCCAAAATACACAGATATCAAAAGTTCCAGTTTGGGCTTTTCTCCGATCAAACTCTCTGAGGCGTAAACACACAGCTGGCTTCATGAGAGAGAACTGAAAACAGAATGTGTGTTGAAAACGAGCTCTAAATGAAAGCAGAGCAGAAACTAAATACATTCAAAAGTGACGTGGGTGTGTTTTTTTTAGATACATGTATAGAAAATCTAAGAAAGTCATTTTATTGTTCATTCTCATACAAAAAACAACAGCAGAGAAACACAGTTCAGCCAATTTCATCTGAAAGTGTTCAGAAACAGAGATCTGAACTGTTCCTGCAGATCCGATCGTTACTGTCGGAGGGAAACAACAACAAAAGGTGATGGTTAATAACTTTTGCATGAATGGTCTTTAGGCTGAAATTTGAGGACAGTATTTTTCTTTCTCTCTCGACAGCAGCGATTCGCTCTGACAGGATGCTGGAGCAAAACAACACTGTTCCTGTTGTCTCGTTAGTTCGTCATAAATAATCCCGTGTAATGTGGCATCAAGTGAAGACGTGGGAAAGCCTATAGCATACCATCACAAGTCATAATAAATGTTCTGTACACCTATTGCATAGATGAAATTAACTACAAACAGCATTGGTGGACCTGCCCTGGCAAACTTTTGGGAGGTTTTCTGCACTTTGAACAAGGCTGCCGGCCTGAAACTAGCTCTCAACCCCTACTTGCTCGGGGAGGATGATAAGTATATTCCCAGAGCAAAGCGCAGGGTGCTGTCCTTTGGTTCCCTCTTGGATAGGCGTGCTATTTTGATGTGTGCTGATCTCATGTCGTGTCTCAGTCTGGAAAAGATCCACTGCTCCACCCAGAACCAAAAGGGCACATTTGATAAAATTTGGGGTGTCTTTCTGGAAAACTCTAAACTTCAACTTAAGGATGTTCCAGCTGACTAACGGATTTGCTTCTCCAGAGTGGTCGGATGTCTGAACGGGAACGTGAAGCTCAGCGATGGTGTAGCTAACTTCTGTGTGGTTCTTATGGAAAGGGCTGGATAATATCATAATCCCTCCCAGGTTGTGGCTTTTGTTATTTTGTTGGGGGGGGGGTTGTTTATTTTCTCTCTTTTTATTTTTCTGGGTTTTTTTGTTTTTGTTTTTCTTGTTGCTTGTTTGGTAAATAATAAGAGAGGAAAACAATGTTCCAACATGTCTGTTTTGTATTCATTGTAAACAGTTTGTTTTCTTTGTAAACTATATCCACAAAAATAAAAATATTTTGAATTAAAAAAAGAGCGTTGGAGCATTTTAGCGCTTAAAGCTGCAGCTTCTGACCACTTGGGGGCGCCATACACAGCTGCGAGCTGTCCGTCCTCTGCTGCAGCTGCTTTTAACAGCTTTTTGTCTCCATCAGGAAGCCAAAGCAGCAAGGTCGTGAATGCAGATAAACGCTGATGTAAGGGCACATCTTACATCAAACATCTTCCAGAGGACGCTGCAGTCTAGCTGATAACTCTGCTGCTCAATGATCAGACACACTCGTGTAACACTGTCCCTTTCTCATAAGAGCAGTGACACCCTCCTGGCTCAAGCGCTAATTCACCCAGTAACTGAGAGAAGTTATCTAAGATCCCAGAGAGAAGGGAATTAAATGAATTTTAAGTTAATTCGATTTGTTTCGTGTCATTTCATTACTGAAATCCCAAAGATATACGTAAAATAGTCCCAAATCTGTTGAAAGAATCGAATCTCTGATCTTTATTATAAAAAAGGTACTTTTTGTAACGAGCCATGTACAGAAAGATAAAATTGTAAACTTGATGTTCATAAACTATTTAGAACTTTATCAACTGGATCGAAAACAGTAGCTCGTCCCACTTCTTCACTTTATTTCTTATTTCTTTGTCAACTAAGGAGACAACGCAGCGAGCGGTGTTGTCTTGTGGCAACACGGTTCTCTCTGGATTGTTAATTAAAATGAGAAATGATTTCCTCCTGATATTTGCACGTAAGGAAACTTGGTATTTAGGGATTCTAGGTGGATCCCATCTCTACCTAAGCCGGGCGGAGAAACAGCGCATGTACTCTGTCATCCAGCGGTCGTCCACCACCATCAGCTGCGAGCGTCTTATCTTCTCCAGGTCAGCCGATCGAGCCCGCCGGCGGTCCAGCCTGGAGCTCTGCTTGTCAGACTCCCTGCGGGTCTGAACGCAGGCATCAGAAGTGTGACTCTGTGAGGAGAAACCAGAGAGAGGAGTCATTTCCCAAAGCTACACCGGTGTTTTATTATTCATGTTGGCTGCGTGTTCGGTGACACGTTTCACTTCTCTGCTGTCCTGTGAATGAGGTCGAGCTGCAGGACCCCTGCACTACCAAGGACGGGCCGAGAAAGAAAAAGTGTGCTACGTGTTTTTTCTAGTTAGCACGTCTGTCTCTTGAGATATAATGGTGTTTAAAATCTTAAAAACAGTCAAATTATTGATTGTAATTCTGAAAAGTTGCTAGTGGTCATAAGAGTAAAGTATATTTGTTGTTGCCATGAGCCCTGAGCTTTAAAGGCTCTAAAAGTGCTGCAGTATCCCAACTGAGATCAGCGCTCACATCATTGGTTGTCCTCTTGACCTCCATCTGTCTCTCGCTCCAGTCCAGCCGGCTGGACGGTCTGTGGTTCTCCTTCTCCTTGGTGCTGATCACCGGCGTGCTCTTTGCTCTCGGCGGTTTACGGATCACGGCTGGTTTGTCATCCTGGGAACTGTCTCGGTGCGGCTGCTCAGAGCGTGGCGTGTTGCGGCGGCGTTGCCGTCGGGATACTGGCTTTACTGGCTCCGCATCAGAAGTCGCCGAGTCGGCTGGCCCGTTGTCTGTCGGTGTGTCGTCTGAGGGTGCGCTGTTTGTTGGAGCCACCGCCTCAGAACTGCCATTTTCTACAACTGCTGCTTCACAAGAACACAGGAAACAGTGAAATCGTTTAAAAAGCCACTGAGCTCTGCTGACTGAACAAACAGATTAACTAACTAAGCCAAACACCAATCAACCACTCGATGGAGCTGGATGGCTCCACAGTGACCCTGCAGAGCGCTGCTGTGTCTCAAGCTATATGAAATGATTTGTGACTGTGATATTCAGAGATAAGCAGGCTTCCTGGCACTCTCCTGTCTGAAATGCAGACATCACAAATGTCAAAGGCACACAATGGATCCTTTGTCTTTAAGCTCAGTGTCTCAGCAACAACAGTCCCATCTGACTGCTGAACTTTCAGTCCAAACGTTTATAGCACTGCTGTCTCCTGAGGTAAACCAGCCTTTGTGCCTCGTACCGTCAGAGTGACGCTTACAAAGGGTTCACAAAAAACACCATCTGTTAGATCTTTACAAACTGTTTCTGAAGACTAAAAAAGAAAAGGTGAAATTGAAGCACAAATGCAAACATGGTCACTTTCTTCTCCTACAGTTAGTTTTGTGCATTTCAGGACAAAATACACTGCATTTGAGTTAATGTAGTATCATTAACCAGGACTACAACTTAAGTTTATTCACCTGATGACTGACTTAAACAATTATTTTTTACTAAACTGTCAGAAGAGTAAAACAAGGTTAGCTCTGTGAGGCTGCACTGAGCAGGGCTTTGACCCACATGTCAACATCCTTGCAACAACGAAGCTAAGCAGCTCATGTTTAGCAGGTCTAATGTGCACCATAAGCATCATGCTGCTTGCTGACAAGCTAACACAAAGAACAGCCGAGGATCAAAAAATGTCGAGCCCTCGTGGTACAGCAGTACCTGAGAGGGACGTGGGCGATGCCACCTGATGGGTTTGGATTTCTTATTTTGAGAAGAGGCCATGTTTGTATGAGAGACTGGGAATGCTGTTATGTGTTAATGCTAGAAGGCTTGACTAGGAAACTGAGCCTAACTTGTACAGTTATGATGCAGAGACAAGACATGTAACTGAAACGTCCATGGCTAGGTCAAATGGCCACGCCTACATTTCAGCCATTGTTCAAAAGAATTATCTATCTAAAAAAAGTTTCCCTACTGTATAGTTGAAAAAAACTGATCAATGGCCCATGGAGTAAAAAATCATTTGAGAGCTGTGAAGTTTTAACATTTTAACACAAGTATAGACACTAACTCACTTTTGGAGCCAGCCTCAAGTGGCCACTTCTGGAACTGCAGTTTTTGCCGCCTCATGATTGACATGGTTATTATCAGAGCTACTTCTAGTTTATTTGGTTAGTTAATTGAAAGAATATTAATCAGAAACTGCAATTCTCTGGAAAATGTACCCTTGCTATGACACAAAGTCTTGGAAACCAAATTGATGTCTTGTCCAAAGCAGAAATTTCTACGATATGTTTCAAACATTTACCAGGGAGAGAAGCGGCGCCTAATAATCACATTTAAGAAACTTAATCAAGCATATGTTTAGAACTTCTGCTTGGTGACCCGTTCTCTTACCTGTGGTTTGTGCCGCATCTACAACCGCAGCGTCCCGGTCCCCCACGTCAGTCTCTCCATCCTCGCACGCTGGCTTTTGCACAGGACTGGTCTTTGACTCCAACAACCTCTGCTTGACCTCCAAGGATGTGGGCGGCAGCGGGAGAGACAGAGGAACCACTTTGTTCCTGGTCAGCCTTGGTGTTGACCAGCCGCTGGAGTCAGAGCCGCTGTCCCAGCCCTCCCAGAACCAGGGCTTGTGGGAGTGTTCTATCACCCGGCGAGTCAGGCGGTACTTCACAGAGTCCTCATAGCATTTAGAAAACGTCTCCCATTTGGGGTCCCTGAACTTCTTCATATATTCTGTCCTCACTTTCTTGGTCACCATGGTTCTTGTTATTGCCTGGTGCCAATCACTGCAAGGAGACATAAACTTCAGTTTGAAACAAATTTGCAATCTTTTCTTTGGTCGTCGTCTTCTTGTTGCTCCCACTAGAAGTCACCACTGAGAGTCTCTTCCTATCAGTAGCCTCCTCTGCTTTCACACTAATCCTCTGCATGTCCTTCGCTACATCTATGAGTCTTTTCTTTGGTTTTCCTCTTTTCCTGCCTGGCAGCTTCATATTCAGCATTTGTTGTTGTTGTTAAGAATCCTAAAAATCCACTAAACATTATGAAGAGGCAGTTAACTATGGCAACCACGAGTAAACAAACAGGGTATATTCTCTATCAGAGGAAGTAAAACACTTTCGCTTTACTTGTTTACTGATGCTGTGAAGTGTAACCCTGACATTCATGCGATTTATATCATCATCTTATCAACAACCTCTCACATTATACTGGACGGGAGCTGAAGCCCTACAAAATTTTGGTATTTACCTGATTTTTATTACATTTTGATATTGACTCGGCCTGAATATTATCCCTTACACTGTCAGCGAGTCGACGTCAGTGACACTGAGGTGAGCTGTGATTTTCTGTCAATAAGCACTGCTGTTAGCTCCTGTTCACCACTATTCACGGGCTGTTAGTGAAACTTTGTTTCAAGTGGACCTAACGTGGGCAGACTCACACTGAGCAAATAAACTCCTGCGACGTGAGAATGAAATCAAACTGCTGAAGGAGGAAGAGGAAGGGATGGAGAGAGATGACAAGGAGAGATTAGTGGTGGAGGAGGCAGATGAAGAAGATGAGAAAGAAAAAAGAAAAAAGAGATGAATCCTGGTCACTCCTGAATAAATATGTCATAAAATTATTTAAAGCATAATGAATGATGATTTTTCACACTACAAAAAAAATAAAAATAAAAAGCAACTGCAAAGCATTCTTTAACTGTTGCAGTGTTCTTACTAATGTTAAAAGTCTGCTGTTTGTTGTTCTTCTACGTGGCTGCACTTTCAAAGAAACAGTTACTGACAAGATTTTAACCAATGAGCATCAAGATCCATGCCCCAGTTTTCAGAAGCAGCTACACTGAGTTTTTTCTCTCCCCTCAAACAGACATCCTGTCGGGAAAGTTCCTTTCCGGGGGAACATACAGAAATATCTGGGCTGCTCTACAAAGTCCTGCTAGTTTCTAGGTGGTGTAATAGTAAATGGACCTTTCTATAACATACCTCATTCACTTCATAGAAGCACTTCTATGCTGAAAGTGCTTTCTAACATTCACACAAATTCATACTCCGATGGATGTATCGGAGATTAACTTGGGGTTAGTATCTTCCCAAAGGATATTTGGAATGCCGACCGGACCAACCTGGCGATTAGTAGATGATCTGCTCCACCTCCTGAGCTATAGCCACCGCAGATGGTTAGTGGTGACTGAATGGTAAACAGAACAAAACCTGGGTGAAGATGAAGTGGAATGAGAAGTGCTGTTGAGAGTGGGAGGCTTTATCTTGATTGAGAAATCAAGTCCATGAAACTTTTAAGGCTCGATACAAAAAACATGATTGCAAAATAACTCGTTTTAAACCATCGACTGTATTTACCCCTCTTTAGACTCACCCGTGTTTGCTGCAGGTATGCTTCCATGTAAAATGTGATGGCTGCCGTCAGCCCTCAGCAGGCTTGTAATACCAGTCTCATACCAGACTGGTTAAATTATAAGTAAACAGTTCATCTGCGTATTGTAGTACGACTTCTGGACATCTGTGTCTGTACGATGTGTGGATGGAGCTAGTTTTTTCCCAGTAAAGATTTTAAAGGTGATCACAGCAACAGCGCTGCTGCTTTGGATGCTAGGAACACGTTCACTCCACCTGAGCTCAGCGTCTCAGTAGGAACTCCACTTCTCTGCCCTTCACAGTGTGTAAACACACTCAAGATCCACATTAAAACACTCACGTTTACATTGTTTAACACAGCTGTGCACTACAGAGCCAGGCACTGAGCGAAGCATCAAAGCAAAAGATTTATGCAAACTATTCGAATTACTCGATGAATCATTGCAGCCCTGCAGCCAACAACAGACTGTAAAGATGCAAAAACACTAACTTTATATCCCAAATGTGCATTATTTGCTTGGCTGTACTTTCTAAACAATATCAAATGTGTAGCAGAAGAGGCTGATTAGAGTAAAGGGAACCTCTGTTTACCAGGCAAGTAACCCTGAACACATTTTTATTTACAAGCACGTGGACAGTAGGAACAGCAACAAGCATCCAAAAACATTGAGTTGAATTTTGCAGAAGGCAATTACAAGAAGTACCTTTAAGGATTATTCCACTGTTAATGGAATAATAATGTTTTAATCCACTTCACTAAAAGGTAAATTAAAAGCTGCATCCCAATTATCTATTTGCCATTTTTTCCTTTTACTTTCCACGTCAGCTCAGAGCTCTGGTGGATATTAACCCTGTGCTGCATCCAGCACAACACACAGTGTCGCATTTCACTGTGGTTCAGATTTCCATTAAGAGGGTTTGATCAGTCTGTTCTTCTGCTGCTACATTAACAAAGCTGTCACTGTGTTTTCTGAATACTGCCCATTAGCAGAAGGACAGAGGGACGACTATAAACATTTGCTTTAATGACAAAGAGACTTAAATTTACAACAGCCATTATACATGGATATACAATGTATGATACCATGTACGTAATACATACATACAACAGTCAGCACCAGATACTTGATGCTCAGCTCAACCCAGGTGGAATGAACCTGTGAGCCTCCTGTGGGACTGGTAATGACTCAGGACAGGCAGCAGTTTGGCTTGAATGCATTAACACATAAAATAATTGAGTCCAACAAAATGAACGTACAATAATAATATTGTCTTTCATGCATCAAAGCATTTTTTTCCTGTCAAAAACTGCAAAACAGCCATGATACCATCATCCACCCATCCACGTCTGCAGCTGCTGTTAGCCACAGATCAGGGAAAACCATTGGAGGTTATTAGCACTAAATCTGACTGGACCTTTAATAATCATGAATGCAAAAACTGACATTCTTCCTGGGACTTCTTTTTAATGCATCATATGCAAACAAAACATTTATAACATATGAAACGCTTTACCGCTTGATTTCATCTAAAGCTCTGTCCATATTCAGTAAAAATATATCGATAACGTAACATAACATAAAACCTATTAAATGTTTACATTTTCTGTTTGGTTTTTTTCGAGATTCACCTGCAAAACCTGGTGACGTACCAGGTGTAGTCTACCTGTAAGCCCCGCCCACCTCCCTCCACATCAGATTACCCTGAGAGCAGGGAGGATTGAGGCTTACTACAGCTTTACAACTAGCTGTACTACAGCCATTACTCACTCACACCACACGACCAGTAGCGTCCAGTCTATTTTAGTCTCCACGCCTACATGCACTTTCCTTTTCTTTCTATACATTAACACTTGTTGTTACTCATAGTAAAAATAAGCCAGTATTTGATTTTTTAAGCCTGTATCCGGTCTGAGGACAAAACCTGTTCAGTGTATATTATCCTGTCACTGTCTGATTACTGCATATCTCCCGATGTGTTTTTCTGTAACTGAAACACACTGTCTTGTTACAAAGCCTTTCACTCTGTCAGTCACGCCCCAGCTCACAGCATTTTTAAAGATTTTAGTCTGTAAACGCACAGCAGAGCAAAACGTTGCAGCTCCGACGTATTTTGAAGTTAATAAACGCAATGAAGTGTGTAAACCTGAGGTTTGAAATGCCAAACCGAGTGAAAGCAGGCTACAGCCATGTTCACAGCCGTTCTCCTCACCTGCCCGCTGCGGTCAGCTTCGTTTGTAAACACGGGGTCATTTCAATGCTCAGGCTGACGACTAAAGTCTGATTGGGTATTAAAGTCAGGAATATATGTACTCACCAAGTCTGTGTACCAGGGGGACTCCGTTTGATTTAAACCCCGTCTCTCAGCAGGCGAGCATCGCTCTGCTTACTGGCACCAAACGCCCAGCTCAGTTAGAAAGCTAGCAGCAATAGCACATACAACTTCCGGCTTTGGTTTTCAAACAAGTGCTTTAAAACATCCCAGGGACGTGATTAATCAAGAAGATATTCAAGATAAAATCTTCTACTTTGCTCATATTATAGCTTTCATGCTGATTTCAGGCAAAAACCATTCAGTTTAGATGGTCGGAAGCTTTATTTTGAAATATATATCCTGGACATCCGGAGCTCGTCTATTATTTATCGCTGTCTGGATTAAAATATAACAGAAGTGTACCAGACTGATATGAAATGAAATGTGATTTTACATTAAGACGCTTCCACCAGACCGCGCATGCGTGTTCTGTCTCCGTCAGTGCAGTCAAGATATGAGGAGAAAACAATAACAACAACAAACCCCTAAATAAATTAAATAAAAGGTTATTTACAAATGGTCTCTTGTAGGGCCAGGACCACAGCCTAACCAGTGATGTTTGGGTTTTCGCTTTTACAAATAGGAACTTGGGAATGTAATTCTATTTTACCACCTTGTAGAAACTACAATATGTCACTCAGTATCCAAGACAATGTTTGTTCTCTTTGTTTTGGGGTGAGAAGAAAGCCAGCGTGTTGTTTAGCCTGGTTAACTACTGGATTTATTTCAGCTCTTGAACTTGAACTCTGTGTTTGTCTCAAGGCTTTAAACACCTCATAAAGATTACTATCAGTGATGTTTCACTGCTGTGTTTGGAGCTGGATGACTTAAATGTATTTTTTTTTTTTGGTGTGCTGCCGCATACGTGTATGTAAATTGTAGACTAGGTTAGGGTTGATACATGTGGTAATAAATTATTGTTTACAGATTTTATTCAAACAAAGTTTATGTGCAGTCTCTTGTGTGAGAGTCATAATGTTCAGAATATAATGGAAAAATCCAAAAGACCAGTAAAATAAAATGAACAAACATCCACAAATGTTCTGAATCAGAATGAGCAGACAACACAGTCACACTTGGAAAAAATCTTTGGCTTTTATTTGCTTTGATGGGTTGTTTCTTTTTTGGTCTTTTTGTTCTTGTTTCTTTGATTTTTTTAAATGTAGTTGGTCCGAGCTGGTGTGTGTCATACCTCGAAGCCAACTCTCATATATGCACACCAATCTTCATTTACATTTGAAACAGGACATACATAAAAGAAAAAATAAATAACTTATGTACAGGTTAGATGTGACATGATCCTCGCTGGTGGAAGTCAAAGGTCTCTCTATGAGAGGATGAAGTTTCACAGTTCTAGGACAGCAGCATCTTACTGCTCTGGATCCTGAACCTGATGCTTTGGACGCATCATGTTTAGAAGCACTTGCGGTGGACGATGCTGGGGCCGGCCTCATCGTATTCCTGCTTGCTGATCCACATCTGCTGGAAGGTGGATAGAGAGGCCAGGATGGAGCCGCCGATCCAGACTGAGTATTTACGCTCAGGGGGAGCAATGATCTGCACAAGTAGAAGAAAATGAGACAAATTTTATTGCCTGCTAGCACCTCAGATATCATTGTCATAGTATGTAAGGTGAGTGATCTTGTGCCAGTCAGTGTTGCTTTTGTACCTTAATCTTCATGGTGCTGGGAGCCAGAGCTGTGATCTCCTTCTGCATGCGGTCAGCGATACCAGGGTACATGGTGGTCCCGCCAGACAGCACGTTGTTGGCATAGAGGTCCTTACGAATGTCAATGTCGCACTTCATAATACTGTTGTAAGCTGTCTCATGGATACCAGCGGACTCCATACCTGTGTAGATGTGCAGCAGAGAGGTTCAGGTTAAACACAATGAAATCACAATGTGATCTTTCAAAGGAAAGTTGTTACACTGTCTCGGATGAATAGTGTTGATGCTACGCACCGATAAAGGAGGGCTGGAAGAGGGTCTCGGGGCAGCGGAAACGCTCATTGCCAATGGTGATGACCTGACCGTCAGGCAGTTCATAGCTTTTCTCCAAAGAGGAGGAGGAGGCTGCGGTTGCCATCTCATTCTCAAAGTCCAGAGCAACGTAACAAAGTTTCTCCTTGATGTCACGCACAATCTCACGTTCAGCTACAAACAGAGGGCAAAGGTCATAATTCAAGCTGCTGCAGAGTAGAATAATAAATAAATGAAAGATGAATAAAATAATTTTATCCAAGTGAGCGAAAGGACGTAATGTCCTGAGTTTTAACTATTTGGTTTTATTTTGTGCTGTTTTACCAGTTGTGACAAAGGAGTAGCCGCGCTCAGTCAGGATCTTCATAAGGTAGTCTGTGAGATCCCGACCAGCCAGATCCAGACGCATGATGGCATGAGGCAGAGCGTAACCCTCATAGATGGGTACATTGTGGGTCACACCGTCACCAGAGTCCAGCACGATACCTGAGAGCAGAAACAGAAGAGTTATGGAGAAGCTGACAGGTTTCTACCTGACGCATGTGATGAGTCACATGAAAAGGTGCAGAGTGCTAACAATCACTGCTTCTTTCTATGTCCACATTTGTTTTTTTCACTGGAAGGCTTAAAAGTCAGT